GCACAGTCTTTCGAAGCAGTATACTTTTTGGGAGGTAAATTTCGCGCCCTTTTCGCAAGCTTGAGCGCCAGTCAAAGATTTTCTGCGGTGGACAACAAGCGGTTGAGAACTCGTGATGGTGGGGACCCGCGAAACATCTCGAGGGAGTTGTTCTGGCGGAGCAACTCCGGTACCTGTGCCCGTGCGGGGGCCTGACAGCTTCCGCGTACTCTGGGCTGGCCTTAAGTCGGCTGGGTGGACCGCGAAGCCACCATCAAGCCGAAGCCTAAATCATTTCTGGAAGTACATCAAGCCAGGCGGTGATCCCAGTGGAAAAGAGGGAGTGGACTACTTTCTTGGAGAGCAAGCTCTATTACTGTAGCCTCGAGAAGGTTTGCCATACTTTGAGTTGTTTTGGTTAGTCTTTATTGACGTTGCTAGTTGTATTACATTTGTGTATAGTGGTGAAGAGAAATCACGAAACTCGACTCCAGCAAGAGCGACAAATCGCAGAGGCGGATAAAGATGTTTCTCCTTCTGCGGCTTCTTCTGCGTCAGCCGCTGTTCCTGTTGCTACAGCTCCTGTCGATGCTGCTGCTGACCAGCAACTTGGAACGCTACCTGAACACCCAGCACCAGGTGATGTGGTCGCTGAGAGTGCGATATCCGCACCTGTGCCAACTACTCCAGGTAATGTTGCCTCGCGCTTTGTACATTTGATATGCTGTATCTAATGATGTATAAGCTCTTTTTGCTGTATCAGCCGTCATGGCAAGTGCAGTTAGCGACTCCCGGCCGGCTCAACCTCCCCCAAGGCGTGAAACTTCGTCAGCACCTTCGACTTCCGTGTCCCGTGCGCCAGGTGAGGAACAATTCAGTCGATTCTGCGTTACGATGCACTGCTAACTCGTTATTCAATGCTGACTGTGTGCTACCGTTAGCCAATGCTAGTAGCAAACCAAGCGGCTGTCGCAGCAATGATAGCGACTTGCAGCAACCGAGACGACACCATAGTCCTCTTCCTGCTCGTGGAGAAGATGAAAAATCGAAAGAAGAGAGTCGTACTGGCGATTTGGGTAGGATTACTTTCTTGAGTTGGATATACATCGTACATCATACATCGTATGCCTAACACGTACATTATGCTGTATTATTTGGTGTATTAGGTACCCACGACGTCGTTGACATGCTAGGTGACGGTGACGACGACTTGAACGCACCTGAAGGCAGTGATGATACATACTGTGTGCTAGACTCGGGGACCGAATCAGAGGAGATAGACCTGGACGATTTGGATGTCAGTGACGCTGACTCGTCAGGATCAGATACGATCGATGAAGAGGACGATGACATGTATGCAAAGGAAGAACGCCATTTTGCAGACAGTTTTCTCAACTCAATCGGTGGCCACGACAGCGTTCTGGCTGGTGATATCATCGGACCTGCACTGAAAGATCTCGGTACTACTGGATGGCATGATCCCGAGACGCCCAATGTCACGCAATATCTGCAAACACCGTACACTCCTGTTCCATCTAGCGACGAGTATCCAGATCTGATGGGTGAACGCGGTGGACCGACTGAAGAGGCTTTGAAGCGTGGAGCGTCGCCTATCGCACTATTCTTCATGTTCATCCCAGTGGCGCTGTGGCAGCATATAGCAGAGTGCAGCAATCTTTACATGCATGAGCAGCTAGATGCCCGTGTGGATGCCTATTTTGAGAGAAAGGAACAGCAAGCACAGAAGGCGCGACGAGCTGGACGCGCAGTACAACAAGAAAAGAACAAGACAAGACGAGATGTACGCCAAGAGTTCCATTCGGTGAAGCCAATAATGCCGCACGAGCTGTGCGTCTACATCGACCTGTTGATAGCTCGAACAATCATGCCAAATCGCGAAAAACTAGCGAACCACTGGAGGCTGTCAGAGCAAGGGGCACTTCCAAGAGGCACATTTGGGAAATTTCTCTCACGAGATCGATTCATGCAACTCACTCAAAATCTCCACTTCACGAGCAACCAAGACCCACGTGCAAAAACCGATCGCGTATGGAAAATTCGCTCTGTAGTGAACGTGTTGCAGCAGACGTTTGTGCAGTACTTCAATCCTCCAGCAGAGCTTTCGTTTGATGAAGCCATGCTACCGAATAGAAGCTCGTTCAATCGGACAAGAGTGTACATGAAAGATAACCCCCACAAATGGGGTACAAAGCTTTTCATGCTCTGTTGTGCTGTGTCCGCTTATTGTATTCGGTAAGAATGCTGTCTTCGTTCTGCTGTATGCGTTTACTTATGATCTGTATGCTGTGTGACAATGTACAGCTTCGAGGTGTACTGCGGCAAGAAGCAGCACATTGCTGAGTCAGGTGCTGTGGACATGAAGTCCGGCCCTGCTGCCGTTGTTCGTAACCTGAAAGCTGTGTTTGGAGATAAGCCTCCAGAGAAAGCGATGCGACTTGTCGTTGTCGATCGGTTCTACACGTCTATTGTGCTAGCCGTACAGCTACTGCTCATGGGGTTTTACACAATTGGTACAATCATGACAAACAGAAGAGGCTTCTGCAAGGCGGTGGTGTCTAGCAAGAAGACTAGGCCGAAGGGTATCCCGAGAAGCGCTCACGTTTGCTCGGTCTAAGCATGTAAAAAAGATGACTTCGATATGCTGGTGGGACAGCAAACCTGTGCATTTCCTATCGGTTGGTGGAAACCTGGAGCTACACCGTGTGGTTAGAAGCAAGAAGACCGGAGAACAGAATGAAGTGGCGTGCCCCAAGGTCATCAAGGACTACCATAAGCTTATGGGCGGAGTTGATGTGCACGATCAACTCCGCCTGCAACGGTACTCCGTTCAGCGCTCGATCACATTCCGGAAATACTATAAGTCACTGTTCCTGGGGCTGGTTGATCTCGCGATTACAAACGGGTACATCGTGCACAAAGCATATTGCAAGCAGAGGCAGATTCGAGCGATGACACACGCGCAATACATGTGCAAGCTGCACAAGCAACTGATTACACTTTCCGTGGAGGATATGTACGAAGAGAACACTTTCAGCACAGGTAAGCACTATTTGGTTGACATGCTGTATATACTGTTTACATTAACGTGTATATACAGATGGCTACACTTCAGTCGAGGAGCGCGAGTCCGTCGATGCCAGCGGACACGGGCCGAAACTAAATGAAGAGTGGCGAGACCATTCCGGACAGAGGAAGCGAGTGCAGAAGAACTGCAAGGTATGCACAATTTTGACCGAAGATGGCAAGAGGGGGGCCACCACAACGTACTATTGCGATGGGTGTGACTTTCCGGGGCCAATATACTTGTGCACGAAGCCGAAGTGGCCAATGAAGGGTACAATCAAGAGCTGTTGGGACGTGTGGCACAATGAATACAAGAACGGCGCTGAAATTCCAGCGCACAAGAAGGGTAAGATCCGAGTGCGCGCGGCAAAGACTACATGATCTCCTGGCAAGTCTCCTGCCAAGCGCCGCCGTGCCGCTGCTGCCTCCCCAGGATAAATTCTGTGTGATCAATGAAGTAGCTTCACTATTTGCGTCTCTCTTGATGTTGCGACTGCCATCCCGTCTTTATCCACGTTTTGGAGGTGTGTGGATGCACTTGTTTGATGACAAGGAGTATGTTAGAAAGTTTGTATGCACGGCAGTCTCGACATCAGTTGATTGCAGGAAAATGGCACTGCATTTCAGTATGCCAGTGCAGACGCCCTGTTTGTGACACGTTTTTCACATTATTAGAGATTTTTTCTGCTACCCAAGTGGCACACACCACACTACAAGCTGTATATATACAGCGCAATCCCCCCATGATATACAGCTTAATCAGTGCTCGAGATGACTTGATCATTTTTTACCCACCTATCTTCTAATCCTTTCCCGCGTTTGTATACAATTTCCTATATGTTAATGCGATGTATAGGGTGTGGAAAATCAGCCGGGTTGAAGGGGTTAACCAATTAGATATTAGGATTTTAGTTCAAAGCAGACATCATTCGATTGCATTCGTTCTACTCTATTGACACCACTTCTCAAGCCGCAAAATTGCGATCACTAGGGCAGCAATAATGGTCGGCACCGATGTGCCCATACTAAAACCAAGTATAGGGCGCACGGGAGATCCACGCAGCATGATCACCTCAAAGAAGAGTGCACCGTCGACAATTGACCGGCACAGCTGGAGGATATCATCACCTACGCTATAAAACACCGCTCTGCCGTCGTCATCGAGAGCGAGAAGCTCGATATACTGCTACTCCACGCGGAAATGAGGTATGAACATCACCGCCAGATCTCGTGTACCCATTCCGGTCGCCGACCACCCGCTTCTCGTGGTGTAGAACGCATTTGTCAGCTGCTCCATCGTCTGTATTCCTCGGAAACATCATTCGCTGAGGTTAACGCTCGGTTAGCAGCGGCATTTGACAATCTTAAGCCGTCCACCGTGCAAGGGTGCATTCGTAAGGCTGACCATACGCTAGAAGACATTTACAAGGTTGTATTTCAAGCGGAGGATAACGACGAAGATAGTGATGGAAGTGCCGAGTCCGACATAGATAGTAGTTAAATTGTAGCTCTGATGCTGAGGAGGACTAAATGACTGATGACGCCGGTTTTTGTGCGCATCATACTGTGTTTGTGCTGCTTCTTCATATTTTTTTGTTTTGAATAAGAGAATCCTGGTTAAAACAGAAATCTGCCTGAATAAGGAGCGGGGTTTCAACTAATAACCTCGTAATATTTATAGTCGTGAAAGATTTAGGGATATGGGATAGTGAGTGGCAAGGACTGACAAAACAATCTAGGGACTGACTTCGATTTCAATTTAAA